TACAATGTAGTTTACACTATTTACATTGTAAATAACTTTACAATGTAATTCTCATACATATCGAAAACCATTAAATTACAAAACAGTTATTTTGAATTCTTTCATCATTTATATTGTGTGATTACCCACATAAAAATAAAATACTTACCGTTATTTGCTTTTTTAAGCTTCCTAATTAAGTTCTCTAGTTCTTGTTTAGAAAGTGCAGAAATTCGTACCTGCTGGAATGGACACAGAATATTTCTTACTTTGTTTGTAGAAACCCATCTATACAAAGCAAAAATAAGTCCAAAAAATTGTACTACATCGGATATGATCTAAACAATATCCAATTCTCCTTGACTAGAAAATATATTTAGATGAAGGACAAGAATGGTAATAAATACAGTACAATTCACAGGAGTGGAAAAGCTTTTCTTTTTGTTTTATTTTCAATAAGGGTAATCATATCAAGCCTTCAGGTTATTGAGGGATGGGTGTTTGTATCCTATGTATTGCTCTTTTTTTTTACAACACTTGATATCATTTTTGAATTGCATGCTACACATCATTTGTATTCAAATCCTATATCTATTTACATCAGGCATGTCAAACTGCCGGCCCGCAAGCCGGATGAATCATACTGAAACCGCCCCCACCCCATTGCCGGCAATGGGGAAAAAGTCACGATACGTCGCGCGACATCACGAGTTTGACATGCCTGATTACATAGAAAAGGTACAGTGCAGTCAGCATTTTTTAAAGCTAGCATACTTTTCTGCCAGTTCTTGATGAGCCACCATGTGGAAAAACACTTGGATGTCATAGCAAAATAAATGCCTCTGTCCATTCCAACACCAGGATTTTTCTTCCTGCTGCTCAAATAGCATTAGATATATTTAATTGCCAAGACCACATATTTTGCTACTATAATTCTGCAACGAACAATGGCCTATGGTATAGTATTTGTTATCTCTGCAACTTCTATAAGACAGCATTTTTCCTATAACATTCTCACTAAATGTATTATTATTATATTTTAATCCCACCCGTCTCTCTGTCTGTCTACACATCTTTCTGGTCAACCCAATGCAGCAAACGTACCTAATATTTCTGCTTCAAATTTTCACACAATTCTGTCAGGTGGGTTGGGCTACGAGAGAGTGGCCTAGCCAGTTTTCATGCCTAAGGCAGGACTAGAACTCACAGTCTCCTGGTTTCTAGGCCAGCGCCTTAATCACAATATCAAACAGGCTATCGAGATAGGCAGCATATAAATTTAATAAACAAATAAAAATAATGAATATTTGGATTTTTGAAAAGCAGAGTTTATCTCTTCTAGCAATTCAAAATATATTTAAGACATTTATTCACCTGTTCTTCAGATAATTCTGTTTCATTTTTCAGTCCTGCATTAATATCTTTAATAAAGTAGACCTTAAATGAAATATGTAAATATGTTATAGAGTAATTATAACTCTCTTTTCCAGTATTTACACGCATTGTTTTAAATGATTTAAGAAAAAACAAAATCCTTCTGGAGTTTGATTGTACCTATAGCATGAAACAATCATAAAGTTATCATTTGTAATATTTAGACAAGTGTATACAGATAGGCAAACCAAGGACTATTTTTTCTATTAGCACAATAAGACCTGTAATAAACTTATGAATTCTAATTTCATTTTGTATAATATTTGACTAAACAAAATGTGACTTTATTTAACATCTATTATTTTCTACTTTATTTCTTATTTCACTGTTCTTCAATCACACCCTTGTAAAATCTTAAGTTGCTTTTATTGCTACCTACTGAAAGGATTGCCTTATACTTTGAAATTCTTGGCTTTAAGGCAGCCCTCTTTGCTCTGCTATAATACCCAAGATCCATTTATGTTGCACACAGATTCTGGGTGCTTCCAGAACATGTTTCCATTATGCAATTATCTGGCTAAATTCACTAAATCCTATAAAGGATTCAGATAAACTGCCTGCTGTTTGCAACTTCCTATGTTTCTTCACAAACTTTCCAGTCTTTCTTATCTCTGAAAATCAATTACGGTAAGTATGAGAAAGTAGAATAGTGATACAATAAAGCCCTATTGTACAAACACTACAATATATTTATTGGTGGTTCTGTGATGCTTCCATCTGCAAATATCCTTGCTTTCATCAGGGTATTAATGGAAAGAAGCATCACTGCACAAGGCAGTTCTGCTAGTATGCCCCTAGAAAATCCCCCTTAATTTTATTTCAAGCAGTTTCAATGATACTTACAGGCTTTGGCTTCTCTCTTGAATTACACTTTTTCAAATGTTTTTGTAGCTGATCTTCATACACAGTGCTAAAATTAAAAATAAACAAATTAACAATGCTATTCATTGTTCTTTTTTTTAAAAAAACCCACACAATCTACTCTTGCTTACTGTTTTGGATCCAAAGGACAAGGGATTCTTTTCCTTTTATGTTCTTCCTAGTTAAAAAAAATAAACAATTTACTAACACTTTAAATCATACCCTTTTTCAGCTTCACATCCCCCAAAAATAAAAGTGAGCCCCAATTGATATAGATGTAACATAATAGAATTGGGGGGGGGAAACAAAACATAATGGAATTGATTTACATTGGAATCAACAATATGTTGCCTTAAAAGGTGCCTTATATCCAGGGTGATGTGAAAGAGAAACCTTCCTTGAAAAAAATTACCTGAGGCACTTGCGTTTTTTAAAAAACTTTGTATTCTGCCACTGCCCGTTTGCCACTTGTACATTACTTGTTTTCTAGGTTGACAGCAACATTTTCTCTATGCATGGTATGCTAGGGAAACTAAGCCAGCCTCCTCCAACCCACCATAACGTGCCCTAAACATGTAATCACATTCACAATCATTGGGATAATTTCCAATATTGGATGGCAGACGGAACTTTTACACCGGATGGAGGTAAGAGATGAAAACGGGATGAACCAGAAAAATCTAATGACATCTTCTTGCTCTGTGTGTGTGTGTGTGTGTATACACTCTACATATATGACACGCAGGTAAGAGATAAGCCACCTGGGAAAGCCAAGGGAAATCATCAAAACAATTAAAAAACAAAAATTAGAATATTTCGGACATGTGATGCGACACCCAGAAAAATACGGCATACTCCATTTAATCCTCCAGGGAAAGACTGAAGGCAAACGAGGTCCAGGCAGAAGAAGAACATCGTGGCTTCAAAATCTAAGGGACTGGTTTGGACAAAACTCAGCAGCACTTTTTCGTGCGGCTGCTGATAAAAACAGGATCGCCAACGTCCGATAACGGATATGGCACAAGAAGAAGAAGAAGGTGGTAAGAGATGAAAACGGGATGAACCAGAAAAATCTAATGACATCTTCTCGCTGTGTGTGTGTGTGTGTGTGTGTGTACACTCTACATATATGACAGGCAGGTAAGAGATGAAAACAGGAGGAACCAGAAAAATCTAATGACATCTTCTCGCTCTGTGTGTGTGTGTGTGTGTGTGTGTGTGTG